TTTCAGATGTCCTCCATGCCAGGAGCCAGAAATGTCTTTTATAGAAGACCAGCCTGTTTTATTATTGCCATGAAGTCCTACCCCCAAGTTTAGTTACCATGATGGCTAGTCACATTCTTCCTAGCTCAACTCCTAGGGCATCCCACACAAAGGGCCAACTGTAATTACAGCTTCAGTGACTGGAGTCTTTTAACCTGCATTTTCAGATGTCCTCCATGCCAGGAGCCAGAAATGTCTTTTATAGAAGACCAGCCTGTTTTATTATTGCCATGAAGTCCTACCCCAGCACACTGTGGTGGCCTGCTGGCCCTTCTGTGGGGAAATTCAACCCCATTTTAGCCACCAAGAGAGATTAAAATGAAACGCTACAAAGCTAAAGACTGAGCTGCCCAAATCTCTCCAGCTCCTATCTTCTCCACTCCGAATGATAAAAAGGGACAGTTCAGAGGTCGACAGCTAAGCGCTCGTTTACACTATGCAAGTTTTAGGGAGGTGCATAGATTCACAAACAAAATGCACAAACCTGGGGCAAACTTGGAGAGAACCCAGTCTGCAGGGCTCCCTCAGCACTGTCGTGCTCAGCTCCAACACGCCACGAGAGGGCGAGAATGGGTGTGCTACAGGACACAGGGCTCCCTGTGAGGGAAACGGTCAGTTCTCCGGTCACATTACCAGTGAAGAGGAGGCTTTAAATCCCAGTGGCCACCCTGCCCCGCTGAAGGGTATTGCTCAACCTGTGTCATGGATCCAAGAGACAATCTAAATACGAAGGGCTGCAAAGTGGGGATAGAGTAGTCGAATAGTCGCATTCCCCCCCACTTTCTGCCTCTATATCAGAGGCAGCAAGGTGGGGGGAGCAGGAGCCAGGGGAAGAGGGGGGGAGGAGGGGATCCAGCTTAAAAGCTGGTTTCCCCAGCACCATCTCTGCAGTGTGGGGGGTAAGGGCAGGGAAGGCAGAGGTGCAATGGAGGCAGAGCCTTTTAAAATGTAGTAAGAGCTGCCCAGCTGAAACAGTCTCAGCTTGCTCCAGGTCCCACGCTGCACCTGTGCCTCTTACTAGATTAAGAGCCAGGCAGTTCTTACTCATTTAGAAGGCAGAGGCACAGCATGGGACCCAGCACAAGCTCATGCTGGTTCTGGACCACTACGGCTCTGCTTTTTAAATGTCATAAGAGCCAGGCGGCTCTGACCACATTTAAAAGACAGAACCGCAGTGGTAGGGACTCAGCTCAAGCCGGGACTGAAATAGTCCTGGCTCATGCCAGGTCCTGGACCTACTCCCGCTGCAGCTCTGCAGTTTAAGTGTCGGAGGAGCCAGGCCGCCTACATGCCCAGCTCCTACTACGTTTAAACTGCAGAGTCGCAGAAGCCCCTTATTAACTAATTGTGTACTCAGTACAAATTGTATCGAGTACACAGTCAGGTACTTGATACTCAACATCCTGACTGCAGATCAAGGTTAGTGGTCACAAATAAGGATATTAACATACTGTACTCCCAATGTTCTGTAATATTCAGAAGACAGAGCATAGAAGCCGCACTGTTGGTTATTCAGGTGATGTTATTTAATAGATTGCTTTCAAGTATACAATGGTTTGTTTTTTTATTATGGGTGAGGATAATTAAGGAAACACCCAAACTGATGCTAACAGCAAAGAATAACTTAAAGAGATAAACTTTTTAGACAAAAGTAATTGACGCTACTGCTGAAGAGGAAGAGAAAATCCGAGGAGGGTTTAAACATAACACACAAGGAAGCATGACGACTTAATTCACTTTATACATCGGCAACTCCAACTGTAAGGGTGTTAAAATGCAGTTATCTGGCTAATTGTCGATAAGAAGCGCACTGCAGAGCCACAGTGCGGGTAGCCCCAGGAATCAGCTCAAGCCAGGACTAGGCAGTCCTAGCTCATGCGGGCTCCAGGAGCCACCTGCACCGCCACTTTACATTTTAAATGCTGCTTAGCAGCAGCAGCCCCTGTCCAATAAAGGCAGAGGGTGAGTGGGGAGGGAGACCGGCAGTACCAGCTCCTGTTCTCTCCTCCCACTGCCTCTCAGAGGCAACGGGGGTGGGGTGGGGTGGGGGGGATAGTCAACACACCAGTGGACTACCCGATAAGCTTATGTTTATCAGATAGCCAACTAGTTGACTACTCACTAACATCCCTATCTGACTATAACAGCTGCCAGCCTCGTCTCCTCTTTTTCCACAGTTTGCCAGGACCTAGTAGTTAACTCTCTTTCCCAAGCAGATATCCTCCCTATAAAAGCATGGGGGTAGGTGAGAGAAACATGTGGGAAACTTTCCCACTTTCAGCACTGAAAAGATTAACATAAGAACGGCCATATTGGGTCAGACAAACGGTCCATCTAGCCCAGTGTCCTGTCTGCTGACAGTGGCCAATGCCAGATGCTCCAGAGAGAAGGAACACAACAGGTAATCCTCATGTGATCCCACCTGTCACTCATTTCCAGACAAACAGAGGTGAGGGACACCATTCCTACCCATCCTAGCTAATAGCCATGATGGACCAAACCTCCATGAATTTATCTAGCTATTTTTTGAACCCTGTTAAAGTCCTAGCCTTCACCACATCCTCTGGCAAGGAGTTCCACAGGTTGACCGTGTGCTGAGTGAAGAAAAACTTTTTTGTTTGTTTTAAACCTGCTGCCTATTAATTTCATTGGGTGACTCCTAGTTCTTATATTGTGGGAATAAGTAAATAACCTTTCCTTATTTACTTTTTCCATACCAATCATGATTTTATAGACCTCTATCATATCCCCCTAGTCTCCTAGGGTATGTCTACACTACCCCGCTAGTTCGAACTAGCGGGGTAGTGTAGACATACCCCTAGTTCTTGAATGCAGGGATTTGGAGCAATCAAGTTTTTGAATTGCTCCTCTCCAGCTCTGCTCCAGCATCAATAGTGACTGCTCTAGCTCTGCTCCGACACTGCTCTGCTCTCCAACTCAAATACATTTTTAACTAAATAAAAAAATGCATACTGTAATTTTGTAAAAACATTATTTTTATTCAGAGTTTTAATACAATTTAGATGTCATCAACAATGATACAAACTAGAATCATTCATAATTCAATCTGTAAAAAATTATTGCAGCAATCAAGTCATCTTTCATAGCCTGCCGCAGATCATTTAAAATTAACTTTAAAGCCAAAAACAGTCGCTATATACTAGCTTGAATTGTTGGCATACTTGAAGCAATTCTACAGGCAGCCTGTATGCAGTGTGGGTAGCTGTGAATGGCCTCAAAAATACCCTCCTAGTTCGAACTAGGAGGGTAGTGTAGACATACCCTTATTTTCTAAGCTGAAAAGTCCAGTCTCTCTTCATACGGGACCCATTCCAAACCCCTCATCATTTTTGTTGCCCTTTTCTGAGCCTTTTCCAATGCCAATATATCTTTTTTGAGATGAGGCGACCACATCTGTACGCAGTATTCAAGATGTGGGCATAACATGGTTTTATACAGCGGCAAAAAGATATTTTCTGTTTTATTATCTATCCCTTTTTTTAATGATTCCTAACATTCTATTTGCTTTTTGACTGCCGCTGCACACAGAGTGGATGTTTTCAGAGAACTATCCATAATGACTCCAAGATCTCTCTTGAAGTTATAGCCAAATTAGTCCCCATTGCATTGTATGTATAGTCAGGATTATTTTTTCCAATGTGAATTACTTTACATTTATCAACATTAAATCTCATTTGTCATTTTGTTGCCCAATCACTTAGTTTGGTGAGATCATTTTTAAAGCTCTTCAGTGTCTGCTTTGGACAAGACTATCTTGAGCAGTTTGATATCATCTGCAAATATTGCCACCTCACTGTTTACCTCTTTCCC